CATTGATTAAAACATGAATTTCAAATTGCCCACTATTTGCATGGTCTGATATTTATTTCATATTGGATAATCTTCAAAAACTTTTGAATATTTAAATTAGAACTTACTTTGTGCCTCTATATTTATCTCTAATAGCGTGTTGCTGAGGTTCATGAACTCTGGAGAAAACACGATGTAGGTTTACATAGCATTCTCTCAGGTGTTCTAAACTGTATCCTGTGGATTCTACCATGTGTGATGGCCAGGCAGTTTGACCCTGTAAGAGAAAGGTTTAATAAGCCAACAGACTAAGGTATGTAGTTAAGGTCAACTCTATATCTGGACTAATTATAAATAACTATTTGTTGCCGTTCTTAGAAAAGAAATTGAGAGCTAGCAGTAGTTTATTCACCTAAAAGGTGAATGAATACTCAAACATTTTTATATTAAAAGTACATACTGTAAGTAGCTCTGTAAAACCAACCTGTGTATGATTTGCTAATGAAACAGCTGATGCTGCAATCACAGATGGCAGGAATCTCAGGAAAGGATCACATTCTAACATAGTAACCTCTGCCAAGAACTGGAATTAAAGTTTCGAAGTTAATTTTAAATGCATTAAACAATAAGCATAATTCAGGCATTTCAAATATACACATATACAACTTCAGTTAAGAATTCTAACCAATACCTACCAAGGCTAAATGCAAGGTTTCTTCTGAACATTTGCACAATCTGGCAAACTTATTAACAAACAAATGTGTAGTTGGTACTGCCATGTCAAAACTTAACACTTTCAAAATAAGATGCTCCATTCTCAAAATCTGCCCAACTCTGTAGGTATTGTCGGTTATATAAGCAAACTGTCCTACGTCAGGAGGGTAGATCTCCTCATATTTCCTGGGGAAAGATATTGTAATTAGTAAAGACACTGGTGTTCAATTTCATTTTCATTCAAAAAATTCCATAAATAGCAACATTAAAACAAAGTTGAAGACTTACGCAGCAATAAACATAGCTGTGGTGCCAACCAGCTGAAGTTTATCCCTTTTAACAGACATGTGCGATAAAAACCGGTCAATATACGAGACAGCCAAATATAAAGTTTCTGTATGTAGACTGTATTCCTCTGCTACTTCGACAAGCCAGTCGACGAGGATCCACCTCATACTTGCTGTGATATCTGTCTGCTTTGACATGTAGTTTGCACGGGGCTTGTGGCACACCTATCAAGAGGGGTACAATATTAATCTTAATATTTCTAGAATATATTCCATCTCTTTTACAATGCCATTTATATAATAATCACCCTCCCCTCCACCCTACACACTTAAGGCATACCTCTGCTTCTCTCAGGTACTGGTAAATGTCTGCTGCATACTCTGGGACATCAAATATGTCATCATTTCTACTATGAAGCACATCTTCACGGGGAGTTGTTTCTACCACCATAAGGTCATCCTCACATACACTCATCTCCATTACATCTGAAGATCCTGATTGTTCGACGGATAAAGACCTGGGAAATAAGAAAAATATAGTTAGGAATTCATTATAGTTTAAAAGGAGGTATCACACTATTCATCAATCCATATAACACTCCCTGTTAACAAATTTTCCTTACCTCTGCAATTCGGTTACAGATGGGTCAATATCCTCAATAGATTCCTCTTCATTTTGTAATGGTTTACTTAACCTTTGATTTAATGGGTTAGGTCCTGTGGAATTGCTAGATGCACTCTGGCTGTTACTGGTGGTTCCCACGGATAAGCATGTATCTTCATGAATAGTAAAAGAGGGTTGACTTGTCGAGAAAGATTTCTGTGTAGGGCAGGCATTTTCATCAGCTTGCTGTGGAATACCCGTTTCATAACTGACACCCTGGAAGAAAAAAATAGGCCTACATGAGAACAGATCGCCAGCCTTCCGTTGGTGTAAACAACGCATGGGGTCTCAGGACTCCTCAGAGTCAACTTGCTATGTACAAATTTCAAATTCCTTACACTGCCATAACTAACTCTTACTAAAGTCCATGAGGTTATTGTTTATATATTCATTCTGCAAACTGGGAAGGTGCGGATAACCATAAGAGCAGAAGACCAACGACTTTTCAGCAACTACTGGAATCGCGAGACGTTCCAGTTCATCCGCATTCGGTTTTATGCAGATCAAATGCCCAATTCCGTTAAAGGATTTAAATTCTCAGTACGTAAATCTCCATACTAGATCAATGTTACCTTCCACTGCACTCCACAACTCTGCAAAAGTTTTTCACAACCAAGTTACAACAAAATATAACCGACAACACGTCGTGCAAACACTCGCTGACCAAGGCTTGTGATGACGCAGTACTCGTTATAGTCTTATCAAGGGATTAACTGCAATAATTCCTTGACTTGGGCTTATTGCATACAAATTCTAGGGCTCTGTGCTTGTAAAACCCTCTCGTTTTGGGGGGAAGACATCCCTTAAGAAGTAGTTAAGTCTTAAAACCACTCCCCGAACCCATTTAAATTCCGCCTCGTTTTCCAACACCCGAGCCGAGACTTCTCCCTTTAGACACTGCTCAAGCCTCTTAAATCAAAATTCTTACACTTTTCTCCCTTCCACGTACCTGTTTGGCTGCTCTCGCTGGCTGTTTCCGCAAATTGGGGTTGATAGCACCGAGCACCGGCCGTCTGTTATTAAGTAGTGCACTGCTGCTCGTCCTCGGGTCCTCCCTCTTGCCTCTCCGCTGGGCCGCCGGGACTCGGTTCTCCTGGTCCTCGAATATGTGCGTAGAAGCCATTATTTCCGCTTGGGAGAGGGTTGTCCTCCGTTGCCACTGTTGCCTTCTGCAAGCTCTTTCCTTTTCTTTTTAATTTCCGAGGCCCAACGCAGCCAAGAACCCGCACTATTGCCGCCACATGAGGAAGGTTCCAACTGGCGTGCGGAGGAGCGGGGATTCCGAGGCCGCTCTGAGGACCAGCTGAGTCGCGGCCGGACTCGCGGGGACGGTTTGAAGCGGCCAATCAGCGCTCGCCTCGCCCGTGACGTCACTGCGCACGCATACCTGACGGGCTGCACGGTTAAACGACCGTATGTAAATAACGATAGTTTGCGCTTTCCTCTTTTTATATTCTGGGTTTATTCGATTTCCTTTGGATGTTTTAAGGGGTTTCTCATGCGCTTTGTGAGTTTTTGAAGGGTGAGGGTGGGGTGGGGTTGCTTGAGGAGGTGAGGGTGCCGAACACGCTGAAATAACCTCGTGGGCGTCTCAATATTCCTTGGACATTTAAATTGTATGCGGGAAATATGAAAGGGGAATTCAATATTTTAATTCTCGTGCTCGGTTAGTGCACTCCGGATTCCATATTTTGATTATGTTTATGATAAATAATTACTTCTATGTTAAGTTACTGACAAAAATACAAAATTCTTGATCAGGTATGATGTTTCAAACGGTTCTACCTTTTTTTCCGGAACGAGTCAATTAACTTACTAAAGATTTTTTTTTCAAATTATCCTCTCCTGTATATCTTTGAAGACAGCTGTTTTTGCACATCTATAGGTAATTTTCAGCGTAAAGGCATGCGCAAATCTCAACAGCTTTTGACTGAGGAATAAAACTGCAACGCCGCTTTAAACTTTTCAAAACAATTTTGCAAATGATTAACACCAAATACCGGACAACAGATGGTTGTTACATTTTAGACAATTATGAAAATATGATATAAAGAGAAGCCGATAAGTGAATACCCGCCTGCAGAAACACAGCGAGAAATAAGCGAATAAATGTACATCTTACTGTTTTCATTAATTCAAATACAATATAACAACATCATCTTTATTCATCCATATTCCATATATATTACCCGTGCACCAGTGGAAAATGTCCAAATTCAAACCAGGATCCAGTATCACTGCTTTTTCGGTTTCCCGTCGAGATTCCAAGTACCGATATTATTTGAAATAAACTATGGGTTTCCCGGCCTTGACAGTAACGTATTTTAACTCTCCGTGTGCATACGGGTATACCTATTTTGAAATTTAATGTTCGAATTGCCCTGGCAGAATAAAACCATGGCGTTGATTTAAACTTAGGATGAATAAACAGTTAAGTGTGGAGGAGTTTACCCATATCTCGGGTACTTCCCTCGGGTCCCTCACACCGCACTCCAGTTTCAGTTAGCAAAATGAACGTTTCTCATATAATTCATCCTCTGTTTAGCGTACCAGTCGTCTGTACTGATTTCTGATCGATATGGATTTGAAAGCTAAACCTTCGGATAATTTGAGTTGTTCATTGACAATACTTTTTAAACCGTTTTGAATTTTGTAGTCATAAGTACTCCAGCTTCCGGAAATAATGACGTTTATTTCCGACCAAACGTTTGCCCAGACAGCGTACGCGCGGCGTAACTGTAACCGAAGTACTTTAGTTTTTAAATATGAAAATGAAGTCTTTAAACAACCTTTTTTATTTGATAATATATTTAAATTCTTCCTTGATGGGTGTTGATCGGAATGCATTGTCATTCTGTTTTACTATAACCACCCTTATCGAACTACCAGTTATATTTAATTAACAATGCCCATACATCTTTCAGTTACGCTTTTAGAATTATATCGGGCATGCTTACATCTACACATACAATACCTTATTTCAGAAAAAAAAATAAAAAGAAAGTGAATTCCGTTTAAAGACAACACTACATTTTTAAATAATCTAATTTGAGTAGCAGCACAGTGTAATGGTTTCCACGCTGTATATTCACGACAGTTGTTATCTGTGCGAAAAAGGCGTTATAAGGAGACGACCGTTGTTTCTATATTGTCACTGATTATAGATGTAGTTAGAAAAAATGAATATATTATATGACACTGTTACAATGTGCGCTGGCTGAGGTCACTAGACTAGCCAAACGGGAGGTCATTGTTATAGCTGTTCATGCCTATTAACATAGGACATGTATAAATAGTTACATAGTCGCAGATCTTGATGGATGAGATATAATTCATGTAAAATCCGAAAGGCATTAAGATAGGATGACTGACGAATATATATATGTGTGTGTGCATAATTATGTTTATACATGCATACAAACAAACATTATATATACACATATATATGTATATATATACATATATATGTATATGTATACATATATATATATACATATATATATATATATATATATATATATATATATACATATATATATATATATATATATACATATATACATATATACATATATACATATATATATGTGTGTGTGTGTGTATACATATATATATGCATACACAGATACAAATATATATGTATATATATATATATATATATATATATATATATATATATATATATATATATATGTGTGTGTGTGTGTGTGTGTGTGTATACATATGTATATGCATACACAGATACAAAAAATATATATATATATACGTATATATATATATATATATATATATATATATATATATATACATATATATATATATATATATATATATATATATATACATATATATACATATATATATATATATATATATATATATATATATATATATATATATATACATATATATATATATATATATATATATATATATATATATATATATATATATATATATATATATATATATATACATATATATATATATATATATATATATATATATATATATATATATATATATATATATATATACTATATATATATATATATATATATATATATATATATATATATATATATATATATATATATATATATATATATATATATATATATATATATATATATATATATATATATATATATATATATATATATATATATATATATATATATATATATATATATATATATATATATATATCTATATATATATATATATATATATATATATATATATATATATATATATATATATATATATATATATATATATATATATATATATATATATATATATATATATATATATATATATATATATATATATATATATATATATATATATGCGCATACATATATGTAAATGGATAAATATATAAGTATATATATGCATATATATATATATATATATATATATATATATATATATATATATATATATATATTTATATATATTTATATATATATATATATTCATATATATAAATATATATGTATATATATATATACATATATATATGCATATATATACTTATATATTTATCCATTTACTTGTTGCGCGTCCTTTCATTTTATCTATACATTATATGACGCAGACACTGGCAAGGCTATGCCATGTATATCCGTATGCCAGTGATCGCAACTTGTGTGGTCAGGTCACGACAGGTCAAGATCCACGTCGTTTGGAAGAGGATGAGGTCAGCTAGGAGGGTAGTCAGCTGTTGTATATTGTACCTAATTATCAAAAAAATTATCCCAGCACATGCTTTATCGTTCCAGACTAAAAAAAGAAAAAGAAAGCGACGGATTCCAGTGGTTTAATATCAGCACATTTCAAAGCGGGTTGTTTTTACATGCTCATCTTCTGTGTTTCGTCCAGACATGCATTCGTAATGATAATATTACAAGTTTACACATGACTCCACATTTGGCGCGAAAGCCGTAAGACAGTCCTTTGGGAATAAACCGTTAAGTCACATCTGCGAAAAAAGGGGTTTGTGTATCTGGTCGTTTTCATTTGTTTCGTTTTATCAAATAAAGTTGAACTAATGTCTGTTGAAACGAGGGTGAGTATAGCTGTCGTGGTATGAATATTGTTGCTTTTGTTGAAATACGAATGTTGGTGTAGTTGTAGTAATGCATTTGTATACATTGGGGGTGGTATTGGTATTGTAATTATTATAGTACGGACATCAGTTTTTTTTAATTATAGATATTAAGTACTGTTACTGTTTTATATGTTACGTGTTAGAAGATATTCAAAAAAGGACTCACGCCATTTACGTATCAATGGAATTAACATCACAATGTTATCATTCGGAAAACATAATCATTACCTGCGTCTATAGCGCAATAATAGTGGATGTTGCTTAAAATAACCTTTGCTGAACTATATATTACAGCGCATCATATAAACAAATGACGTCATACTCTCCAATAGACAATATATATACTGTAGTCCTTCACATCATTATAAACTAGTCCAATCTTTCTACAGCGGAACAAAACAAAGAAATAAATGTACAGGGACCTTAGTTACAAAGAAGCCAGTGACCACGTAATTATGACAGGTCACCGGCTCACCTTGTCTAACCTCATCACATGTGTACAGAGGGTCAGGTCACAGCTACCTCTCTCTAAATGTTATGAATATGCTTACGGCTTTTCACGCAATTTCCTGTAATATTGCTATCAGTTAGCAAAGTCCAATGAGTAGTCCTATATAACCACAGGAAAGCAAATCGTTATTATGTAGGTTAATATAAATTATTGTATAGCTTTTGGCACTGAATTGTAGTCAGTTTAGTTAAAATGTTACGAACAGTGTTTTATGGCAACAGCAGAGAGAGGAATGAAAATAAACGCTATCTACAGCACAGTAGTATGGTATAATCTACATGTACTGAATATATATAACTTATAGTAAGGGCATAGTGCAAACTGTACGAGGGCACAGCGATAATAGAAGTAATTACTTAATGTTTCTAGTTATCAGGGTCGTTATCATATATGATAATGATGATTTAGAATTATTGATATTACTACTAATGTTTTGATCGATTTATTTCCTCATGGTTATCAACATTTATTTTTTTGATTTGTTATTCTTATATTAATGATGTTATTATTGTTATCATCATTATCATCATCATAGTCATAATCATCATCATCATTTTTATCATTATCATTATTATCATCATTATTATTTTTATCATCATCGTTTTTATTATCATCATTATTATTATTATTATACTAAT